CTCTGTCTCAGCTTAACCCAGGACATCTACTTATGTCTTTTGTGAGAAAGAGGTGACACCTGGTTTGGAGAACACTTACGTGGCTCCATGACTTGCTGTATATGACTTGCCTCTTTGACATAGTTAATTATTCACATGTTCACAAAAGTATATAGGTTGCAAGAGCTGCTGTGGTATGCAGAACTGGAAATGAGTTTGTTTCTAAAAGTGTGCTTGTTTTTTTCCAACTGCCTCTCACCCAACTAAAATAGAAATATTCTTATTACCTATCAGCCTTGCCTCCTTTATGTATTTCAGTGCTTTTATAGATTTGGACTAGAGAGAACTTAAATTAAGGACAGTTTTCTTTGATTGTATGTGCTCTGAGCATGATAAAAACTACACAGTATGTTTCCTGGAACTGTTGTACACTGAACTGTGTAAAACATTTCCCAGGATTATTACTGGTGATTTTTAGAGACTAACTACACCCTGCAAATGCTACAGTACAAAGTTCCACAAGGCTATTAGATACATACTGACATCCAGTGTGTAGCTTCTGAGGGTGACAGGTTGAGTCACTGCCACCTGTGCTTCATTAACTTGTAATCTGCATTAGTTACAACCTATTGTGCATTGCCATGCCAGTAACCACAAAGCAGGTTAAGCTCTCACCTTTTTACAAGACCTTTGAAACAGCGGTGTACCTTCATGTAGGCGTCATCCATTATTTAATCCATTATTTCCAAAACGTTCTTGTAGATCTATGAACCTATATAATACGGGGCACTAGCAAGCATTTAATTAAATCAAAGGTTTTTTCTCAGATCTGTGTTGCAGGTTCATTGTTTCTAGCAATTGTGTTGTTGGAAAGGTGTTCCTGGGTCAGGATCTAAGGTGCCAGGTTAACCTCGAGCAAGTGAAATGCACAGTTCCCTTGTCATGTTGAGAGAGACAAAAAGACCTCTACGCTGAACTCCTAGCACCACCACAAGGACAGAGGAAAAATAGTCACCTGAAAGCGTGATGGTACTTGTTAGCAATCCCCTCCTGCTTTAGCTGCTTTTTTGGTTACATTTAGGAGGCAACAGCCCATGTATATAATCTTATTAGACCATCAGCAAACCAGGTGGGCAATCTCTTTGACCACGTGTAGGTGGAGCAACGTCACTTTATCTTCTGCTAAAATTTCCTTCCATGTAATCCTGCTATAGAGGAGTCCTAAAAAAGAAAAGAAATACACTGCATCTCTTTGTGGGAGGAAGGCCACTGCCTCAAGCTATATGAGAGGGTCTTTTGGAAGTTCATGCATGGTTGTCTTTACTAGCCTGAGTAGCCCTTTTAATCAGCTTACAATTGCTGGAATGGGAAGAGCAGCCATTTCAAATGGCTAATGTTAAAGCATGCAAGGGAACAGCAAGAAGGAAGAGTGCAAGTAATGATTTACAAACAGGGGTTGTGGGGTGTGTTCTACTTGATAGTGAGAGTTAATGTTTCTGATTAATGTCCCTTGAAAGAATATATTTCTTTGTTTCAGACTCTAAACTTGAAATGTTAACCCTGATGTAACGAGGATTCTGGCTAAAAATTATGGACCAAACCCATGCAGTTTCTTTAGGACAGGTTTGCATAAATTATTTGAGCGTGTATCTGCCATGATCAGGATCAGCAACATCCTTTAAAAACATTGAAAACTGAGGTTAACATGCAGTCTCTAAAATACAGGCGGAGGTGGCCAAAGAAAAACACCTAACAGTATGAAACCCATGGTAAAAATTGCAAGTAGCAGTAATACTGGCATTTACAATTTTCAGAGCATTAAGTTAACAAATTGAGTTTTACAGGAAACTAGTATTTTTTACAATAAGTCCAAATAAATGCCACCAGAAAATAGCTGCACTGCTAGCTATCTTACTTTATGAATCTGGATTTCCCAGATCAGATTCTGCAATACTTAACTGAAAATTGAAAAGTTAGTTATTGTTTTATCAGAATAGACTGGTTCATTTCCACCTGCACAAGTTTTATTTAGAGGATATATCCGGACTTTCTGATGTTCCCATACTTCAGTTCTTAGCTTTTTTCTCAAGTCTTTGGCATTTAACAATGTAATAGGATAGAATTACAGAAGTATATATATCACAATCTTTTGCAAAACACTCACAAAGAACTTTTCAGTTTTGGAGTTCATGAAAGGTGTGAAGTTTAAAAACATAACAAGCTTTCGTCTTCAAGAGGATCTCCTAGAGGTCATAAAGATCCATTAAGGTTGTTTTCACAGGGACTAGTCGGATTGTGACCAGATTTTACCCACATTTGATTTACAGCACAGCTCTGTTGTTTCTGATAGGATGTGGTGGGTTAACCTTGGCTGGATGCCAGGTGCCCACCAGGCCCCTCTATCACTCCCCCATTCAGCAAAATAAGGGGAAGAAAATAAGATTAAAAACTTGCGCGTTAAGATAGAAGCAGTTGAATTAAAGCAAAAGCCATTAGCAAGCAATGTGCTTCCCAGGAAGCAAGGTTTCAACACGCGTTGTGGTTGTTCCTGGAGATAAATGTCATAACAACGCATGCCCCCCTCCTCCTCACTGCCCTTAGCTTTTATGGCTGAGCTGACATCATATGGTATGGAATATCCCCCTGGTCAGTTTGGGTCAGCTGTCCTGACTCTGTCCCCTCCCAAGATCCTGCCCACCTCTGGGGCCCTGAGCCTATTGGGGGCGGAGGGGGTGTTGGGGAGACAGCCTTGATACTGTGTGAGCACTGCTAAGCAGTAGCCAAAACAGGGGTGTTAATCGATTAACAGCCTTCTAGCTGCCAGTGCAACACACAGTGCTATGGGGGCTCCTCTGGGGAAAACAAACTCCGTCTCAGCCAGACCCAATACATAGGAATACTCCTCTGAGTTCCTGGTTGGGTGACTCCAGGATCAATTTTCACAATTGTTAACAGCAAAAATTCTGAAGAATTGACACAGAAAACTTTCCTTGGAGTTTGGACACTCACATTCATATGAGCTACCTCTAAACAAAGACGAACCTCATGGATCAAGATGTGGCCTGGATGCCACTGTGGGCAGAAGGAGGTGGACTGGTGCACACAGTGGCTAGTCCCTGAGTTGGGTGCTTCAGTGACCAAGCTGGTGAGGTGCACTGCATGTGAGCAGCTCAGTTCACATGCAGAAATAGTTACCAGAATAAATGTCCAGAGATTTCTCAGAACAGAGTAATTTATCTTTGTGCAGTAAAAATACTTCTTTGGTATCAAAAAGAGTGGAAATACCATTAGGAATGGATGGCAATTCTAAATATTGTTTCTAGTTCACAACTTTTTGTAAGTGGCAGCTGAAACCTCTGAATCTGATTTTCTTCTTGCATACAGCAGCTCAATTCTACAGATTCATCACTTTCAGGGTAGAAATTAAATCAGGAGAATCAGGCTCAGAAATGTTCTCCTCTTCTGATCTGTAATGAGAGAAGAGGTCTGCAGCAAGAGGTGTCTTGCATTTAACCCAGTTTTATTTATGAGTAATTCAAAGCCAGTCAGAGGAATTGGGCTGGTAAGAGATGGAAAATAAGGGCAAGGGGGTTCACATTTGTTGTGGAAAAGGCAATTCTTTAACTAAGTTTCTACCAAGGAACACAGCTCTTATGTATGATCTATCCCCTCAAAAAATTAGGGCTTAACCCAAGTGCAATTAAAACTAGGTTGATCCAGTATTTGGCAACACCCTTTCCAGGAACTCAGGCTGTAGTTTCCTCCAGAGAAGATCTCCTGAGAATGATTTGCACTGGGGAAGGAGACAAAAGCAGAAATCAGATACTCTCCTTTTCTCTCTCTCCCTCCTGTACCTCTCTCCCCCCCAATATATGTAGTAGATGTATATATACACACATATGCACATACACATATGTGCGCACACACACGTACTTTCTCCAAAGCAACTTAAAGGTTCTTGTCTTTGTAACAACCTGGTAGAGTTAAATTAGTGTGATGAGGAAGAGTTGGAGTGATGAAGAAATATGAAGGAAGGAATGTACCAAATATTACAGATTATTTTCACTATGCAAAAAAAGTTTTTGACACTGGTTCAGTGGTATGAAAAACACATTTTGAATATCAGGTTGCAAGAACAGAAATGCCTTGCAGTGATATACAAGCACTGATGTTCAGGCAGAAGCTGGTGATCTTGATACCAACTTGAATAATTTTTTTAAAATTACATTTTTGTGAGTAGTTTAAATCTAAAAATGTTACCATAAAAATAAGACCTTATATATTGTATATGCCCATATTCAAAACTACATTTTATGCCAAGACATGGAAGGAAGAAATATATGTGTCAAAAGAATAATACAGAAAAAAAAATCACCTCAGATTACAATTGGAATTTTGATTCCTAACATGAGGAATTAACAGCATAAGAAGTTTCAAGTTGCCACAAGTCTTGATACGAAGAAGAGGTAGCAAGATACCTCTCCACTACACACATAAAAAACCAGTTTTAGTTAAGTCAGGGGATGTGAAGGCACTCCCACTCAAATAAAAATAATTCTGAAAAATTTTCCCATCTGAGGATTTTGTCAAAAGAATTCTTGCAGGCTAGATTACATCAACATCACTGTTACATTTACATTGTATGTTTTTGTTGTAGACAAGTGCTCAATCTTATAGCATTGTCTTTGATAAAAGAAATGTGAAAAGAAGGATGAAGTTATTTTATTCTTAGTAGCATGAAAAAAAGATGAATTAGAGCAGTTACTTCTAAAGCGATTAGTTGTGAGAACAGAAAAAACCCCTGCACATTAGGACAAATTTAAAAGGTTCTCGCCATAATCCAAATACATAGACCTTTTGTTCTTTGTGAGACAGTGTTAAGTATTTCTAAATATATTCCTTGTTTAGTATTACTATTTCTTTCTTCTCTATCTTGGATAGAAAATTATGAAATCCAGTTTACCTCAGAATATTTTTCTACTTCAAATGTGTGTAAAGTTTTCTGTGTAAACAGGCACAATTTCTATTATCTTCAGACAGTTTTGTAGACAGCAAAAGGAAAAGCTCCTGGCTTTTTCTGCTATTCTCAGATACTATGTTGAAATTATATTAGCTCAAATATTTGACTAATTTTTTGTTAATATTTGAGATGAGCCTGAGCTGGACCACTGAATTTTTACATAATAATCTTTAGCCTTTTGGGAGGCTCAGGTTCGAACAAAGATACTTTGAGTTCTCTGTTGGTTCTATTTGTGTTTGGCATGTAGCAGAGAAATGCCCCAGAAAAGGAAAACAATTCAGCAGCATTAAAATATCCATTTCTTTAACAGATGCAAGTTCATCGAAAGCAAGTGCCTAACAAAAAAACCCAAACACAAACCACAAAATTAGGCTTTTAGAGAATATATGAGCTCCTTAAATTATGCTGACAGAAGCATAAAGAGTTCCTCAATACCTGATGAAGAGTTGCCAGCAACATTCAACTAACTCTGTGCTGTTGTCAGGGAAATCTGTGGAGTTAAAGGCGTTTCCTAATAAAATGTGGCAAGGAACTTCCAGACCAGAAGCAGTTAGCATTCCTGTGAAGAAAGTAACAATTTTCTTAATGAGTAATGAGGAGGAAGATAAGACCTGGGGATCTGAGTCACTGGGGCATGATCAGATAAACGTTCTGGCTGATAACCCTCCAAGCTGGTTCTGTAAAGGTACAAGATTAAAACCCTCAAACTGTGGGATTTTTTAAAAAATCTGAATCATTTTACAGAACTGGATCAAGGAGTGACCACAAACATTTTTCCAATATGTAGAAATTAAACTATGGTAACCTGCTACGCTTAGAACATTTTGTTTTTCTGCCCCTTTTAATGCTACTAAAAAGGAATGCTAATGGCTCCCTCACTGCTAGGCCAGTGTACCCTAATTAACTAAAATGGAGCTATGCTGCACGTATGGCAGTGCGAGTGAATACAGGGCCTTTTGTTTTAAATTGAGATAGTTACGGGGTTTTTATCTTTGCTTTGCTAGATGTTCTTCAAAATCTCCTATAAACAGTGATGCCACCATTCATTGCAGCAATGGAGACACAAAAATATGAAAGTGACAGCTTCTTCTTGTATGTAGTGTTGTGGAACCCAGACACATTTTCAATATGTTCTTGTCTTAACAGGGGTAGTAGAAATTGCTTGGCTCTTTTACCTTCTGGGCATAAGGAAAGCATTTGCCATGGCAGGAGTGGGTGAAATCTAATTTACTTTCCAAAGCAGATTTTATTTTTTTGGAAAAATTTCCCAGTGGTTGTTCCCAATTTTATTCTCAAGGCTAGGATTGTGAAATGACACATCTTAGTGAGACTTCGTGATTCCTCAGTTACACAGAGTAGTGTCATGTTATCTTTTGAATATTTAATATTATATTCTTTTAAATTTCCACCCTAAAATGGCTGTTGCATTGTGACAATTTACTCAGCTTGAAGGTGAGACTTTGGAAATAAGGATATGCTATTGAGTTCCCCCTTAAGACAGTTTCATTAACTTAAATGTTCTGTGGGAATACTATCATCCCAAAAGATCAACTTAACGTTAAGGCAAAAAGTTATTCATCTTCCCCCTCGCTCCTTCTCTGTTACACCCTCCTTTCATTCCACTTCTCCATTTCTGATCCATAATTACTTCTGTAGCCAGTGCTGTGGAGGAGGGATTGTAACTCATCTATAACTTGCTTTGTTCATGAGTCATGTGTTACACACAGACTAATAAAAAAAAAGACAAGACATAATGGAAGAAATAAATATTTTCATACACCAGTTCTCAGGAACTTTTTGTGACATATTGACTTTTAATCCTGCCAAACCCAGAAATACTAGCATTTGGGTGGCGGGAGTTGCCCCGCTGTGCCTGTCATACAGAGGCTCTGCCACCCTGTGGTCACCGACTGTAGGAGACACCAAACTGGAGTACAATACCTGCAACACAGGCTGTCATGAAACAGGCGACAGTTCCCGCAATCATTGCTCTGAAAACACCACCTGCTATTTCTTTTTTTTTTGAGGGAGCACTGCTTGCTAGAAAAAAAAAAATTAAAGTGTGTGTCAAACATAAATACATATCGATATAAAGAAGATGAGCCTGCAAGAAGCTCTCCCACCACAAGCGGAAATTCGCACACTGCAGTTTGAACTAGAAGAAACAAGGAGGGAAAACAAGACCTTTTTAGTGGGCGGTTTGAAGGCCTAGTGCCAATGTTGGCTCCTTCTGTTGAAAAGGTGGCTTGTGTATAAAACAGCAGCTTCTGTTTACTTTGGCAGTTTGCACCTCTGTGCTGGCTGATGGGGGCTTTCAGAAGCAAACCCCGGTCACTGCACTGGGGTCTAGCCCCATGGCTGGGCCTGTGCCCCCATGCTGCCCCACTGCTGGCATCTCAGAGCCCACCTGGGCTCCAGGGTAAAGATGCCCACCAGCAATTCTGGCCACCTAGTAAGGAACCCAGACATTTTTTTGTTTGTTTGGTGGTTTTTTTTGTTTTCTGTTTTTTTCAGAAAGCTTTTTTTTTTCCTTTCCCTATAAGCCTACTGCACATATGTGATATTTTTACAGGAAACAGCCAACTTTATCTATCAAACCAGCAGGCTACAGAGATGGCTTGCTCCTCCTGAAGCCCAAGGACTGTAATAAATATCTCAGGCTCACAGTGCAAGGGCTGGGCAGGGAGGCCTATCAGCAGGGCTAGGTCCCCTCCCCTTGCCCTTAGTTCCTCTCTGAACACCTCCATGCCAAAGCCTGTGCCCTGCTGGGAGCCCTTCCTTGCACAGCTGGGTGCTGGGTCTTGGCAGAGCAGCTGCTCGTCCCCTAATGCTGCTAAGCTTCACCCACAGCCTCTTCCTTTAGGTGTTTTCTTTGGGATTTCCTTGACAAATAAACTGTTCATGAGAGGTGTTCTTACTCAGGCCTCCTATTACCAGTCCCAGGGAGCCGAAGTTGGCAAATCCACAAAGAGCATAGGTGGCAATGACTTCAGAGCGAACCTGGAAAACAAACACAGGCCCTGTTGAGTGGTTTGAGACAGCTCGTACTGATTGAGAGGTCTGAAAACATGGCATTGTGGCTCAGGGCTTCAAGTACTGAAATCTCTCTGTTTTGCTTCATTGCTGCCCCGCTGCACAGCTATCAGTAAAGTAGGTGCATTCTCTTGCTGAGAAGTGAAGGCTTTCATACCCACTGCCCATGTGAGGACTCATAATTTATGTGATGGTTTTATTTTTCATGTATATTGCTGTCCCTTGTTGAATTGTGTACTAGTAACTGAAGACAAAAAATGATTCTTATCTTACTGGTGGCAATTTAGCTGCTGATTTTTGAAGGTATGAGTCAGAGAGCTTTAATACAGCTTGTTGTTCATAGCTGGACTGCCTCTATAACTGTTGAAATCTCAGGTTTTGGCATGTATTCCTTACCTCTTTGTCCCTGAACTACCAGAAGGCTCCATGTGCCAAGCGGCTCTGTGCATGCTCCACCCTGTACACAGAGGAAGAAAAGGAAATGGGCCTCCTAGAGAGTGGGTGCTTTGATGTGGTAACAGGCAGAGGGATATTATGATTTTGGAATCCCCACTAGAGGCTTATTTCCTTCCTGACTTCAACCACCTTCCTTCCTGTGGGCAACACCAGCTCAGTCTGGACCTCAGAGCAAAGACATGGTTGGGCTGGCCTTCGTCACCATGGAGGGACCCTTCACAGGACACAAAATGACTTTGGGTGAAATCAGGCTATGAACCTTGCAAACCTTCAGAAAAACGTAGTTCAAACATTTTGGGAAAGGAGGCAACATATCTCAGCAAATGGATTTTTGCCTCCCTGGCAGCTCTGGACTCCTGTTTACTGTGTTTTAGGCCCAAGCTGAAGACGCCTGAGTGAGTGTTCTGGTAGGCTCCCTGTTTATTAGAAGTCTCTCTGTTTCCGTTCCTGTTTTATGAAAACCAATTTGTAGATATTTTCAATCACTCTGCACATATGCAGGAAAATGCTTTTCAAGTACCCACTCTACCTGCTTTTCCTAGAAAAGGCTTTGTGTACTGTGATTTCCCTGCTTTCATTTGCACTTTCCTAGCTCTGAAAACAGGAAACCTTGTTATTACTGATTCAGGTGAGTGAGTTCAGAAGACCACTTGTTTGCTCGCTCTGACTGAGTATCTGTGCCTGGATATATTAGAGAGTTCTGAAGCCAAAGAGAAATTAAAAGTGGAAGTCAAGCGCACTCTCACCTGAACTGTTGTGAGGAAATTAAAATGGTTCCTGGGCGATTTTTACTAGTGTTATTAATCAAAACTATTTTATATCTCAGAGCTTTTTACCATGGAAGCTAATACAGCTCTTTATATCTATTAGAAGTGAACATGGAAGTTCTATACAACATCTCACAAAAAAAAAAAAAAAAAAAAAAAGAAAAAAAAGGTGAAATATAATTGATGGGATCTGCATTTTAGGGCTGACTTCTGGGTTAAAAAACTCTATTCACTCATTAAGGAGTTCAGAGCCATATTGCCCTTGTAGAATGTATCCTGACTACAGCAGGGTAGATCAAAAGTCCATCTTGCCCAGGATCCTGTTTCCAGGAATTCCAGGAACACTGGTAATGGAAGCTCAGGCAAGCATGTGGGTATTTGATCAGACCACCTGGCTTTCTACCTCCACTTGTGAAATACATGTTCTGGTAATAAGGAATGTAAATGGTCAGGAACATGTTTTTGGTTTTGTATGTAAGGCAGGTAGCCACAGCATCACACCAGATTAAATGAAGATTAAAAGCTGTACAAAAGGATGCTTCCTAATTAAGAGTCCTCTGCAGTTACAGTTTGTCTTGGTTTGAGGAAGAAAGGCCAGCGCAGGTGTGAACCCAGATACCATGGTTTTTGTTGCCTGTGCTTAGGTTGAGGACAAATTCAGCACATGCTGTGTGATTTTATTGGGGATAAGTCATGGCTGCAAAGGTCAGCCTTGATCACTGCATGTGCTTTGTCCCTGTACACACACCTAGGATGTCCCTTGTATTGCCATCTTCTAGGCTTCTTCCTCAGTGCATCATAATAGGAATTATGTATCCTGTTGGGTGAAACTGGGTGGATGCATGAATGAGAGGTGGGTGGGCCAGGTTTTAGCTGGAAATACTCATGCAAGCTAACCTTCACTGGCAGTTGAAACAAACTGATTGGACTCAGTGTGGCAAGGGAGGTCTATGCCATGTAACATCTTGTATTACTGTCTTCTGCACAGGGGACAATAACCTCCCGCAGGGGTGTGCCAGTAGTATCTTAAAATGCCGTCAGCTAAAGCTTGCTGAATGCCTCTCTTGAAGCATAATGCTTGGCTAACCCTCCATGGGCAGGAGGAGCACCCAGTTGTTGCCCAGGATTGGGAGAGTATTTCATAGTGAAGTGATAGCTAAGAATGAGGCAAGAAGAAACTCACCTTGAAGACAGCCTTTGTCCTAAGCACAGTGTCCTGTGGGACACTGCAAGTTCCCCAAAACTGTGCCTGTCTTTTGCTACTTTTGTTTGTTTGAGATAGCTAGTGTGATGACAGTGATGGCAGCCTCACAAAGTTAAGCTGCATTTTCATAATTGAACTCTGTCACTGAAAGACACATTTTAGAGTAATATGCAACCATTATCCCTTTATGCCCGTATTAGAAAATAAGTTGAGTTTCAGCAAAAAAGTGTTAGATCCATAAATCTGTAGAACAGAAAATGTTACTTACAGTCATGTACTGTTTCACACCATTAATGTACATGCTCCCACCCTTTTCTCGGTTGTGAATCAGTTTTGCAAGGCGCTCATAAGCCACAAATTCATTGAAGAAAGTTTTGTAACCCAGCAGTCCACCAACAGTAAAACTGTCTTCCCAGTCTACCCCCATCATGAAAGAGAATGGCATGAAGACATAAGCACAAATGTTCTGCAAAATATATGCAACAAAGCAGGTCAAAAGATATGGTTGGTCAAAGAACAACAGCATGCAATAAGTTCTCTAAACTTAAAATAAAAGTGGTTTTATTTTAGCAAAGGAAAATCAGCTTTGAATTCTCACTGACAACACGTCTGGGAGACTGAGGATTTTTAATAGCAATGTATGCTTGAGTAATTTTTTAAAACCCAAAATCTAGAAATAACAAAGTAATTAGGTATGTCCCTAATTTCACACCCAAAGTAAAACAAAAGTTTCTGTGCCTCTTTTCCCCAACAATGGCTTCAGATTGGGCATAGTGTTTGCAGCAAAGAAGGAGGGTTGAGTTAAAAGAACTGCAAAGAGAATTGAGAAGTCTAGTTCTTCTGCTGGTCAAATCAAGTGTGTTAATGAACATGCTTAATTTCACAGTTATTGGACTCCAACTGGTGTAAAAGAAAGACTTGTCTCTGCATAAAAGCTGTGCATCTGACATAATTAAATCTGTACCTTTTTCCTAGCATTCAAAGTTTTATGCAAATTTTTAAAAATCCCATATCACAGTATAGCTTATTTTTCTATGAGAGAAAATAACTCAAGCCGTGTAAAGGTTTGGTGAGATTGTCCTTAGTGAGTGTCACTGTGGTGTTTAAGCAGTTACTGTTCCTGGTTGGTTTCTCCGTCTGCAAAAGGCTAGAGGTTAGTGTCTTAAAAGGGATGGATGGCTTAATGCAACGTGTCTATGTGTCTCAGCTCCTTGTGGGTTATCTATCTGTCCAAATATTACTCCATCCAGCACTCACTTATTAAAATACCAGCCCTTGCATGAGTATTGTGCCTTTCCTTTGCTGTGGGTGTCTGTGCAGTGGGGTAATCTGTAGAAGTGATGCAGGGTAACATCTTAATATTGCTATGAGTGTCTATTCACTCTATGTCTGCAGCATCTTTATCACAATGCTATATCCATGTTTCACATGGGACTTTAATTAGGAGCTTGCAAAAAAAAAAAAAAAAAAGGCCAAAACCATTGAATCAAGATTGTTGCAGTGGGTCAAAAATGATGTATTGACCTAGGTTAAAAAAGAAGTCCTGTTCAAAACCTGTTTGCTCAGATGAGTGATTTGGGTGCAGTTTTACAATTTAATTGTGTTGAGCACTGGGTGGTATTGAGTAAGCCTGGGTTCAGAGGAGCCTGCCCTTGCCCCAGTGTCCTTATTTAAGTGAAGACAATAAGCATTAAGGGCTTGATGGGGCTCTACTGAAGCTAAAGGCACTTCAATGTTTAGCTGAAGGAGCTGTTAATGGCTTGGTAGGCATGTAAACACAGAACTGCTGCACTGCCAAGTCAGAGGAGGCAGGTATTAGCATACAATGCTCTGTAAACACACTCTGCTGGTTAGCATGAACACCACAGAGGGAAGCTATACATCGACTAGGATACAGAAATATTTACATGGCAACAATTTTCCTTTGGCTAGAAAAACATTTTTCAAGAACATGCACATAAAAATATAAATTTTTAGATCATATTAAAAAACAAACAAACAAACAAAAAAAACCCACAACAAAACCACACAGCCAATTAATTTGAGAAAGACAAATTATACATGTATAATAAGCTGCATGAAGGACCTGGACACCATACCTCAAAGTTCAGCTGTGGATAGTCAAACAAACTGCCGACCCAAGAGAGGGCTGAGTCAACGAAAGCCAGCAGGGCAAGGAAGGCGATCAGATTCACTGCAATGTTTGCTACCAGACGGATGGAGGTCGAGGCACCTTGACTGGCTGCCTCCAGCAGGTTCTTTGCTTCACTTTATCAATGAAAAGAAAACCAGAGTGTGAACATTTTTTAATGCAAGAACAAATCATAGAACTGAAAGTTACATGGACTTGATTAGAAAGCTACTACTGAAGCTGTCTATTCCCTCATAGGGAAAATAAAGATGAGGTGGAGTGGGTTTTTGGTCTCAATCCTCATGGGAGCCACTGGGAGCTTTTGGTGACCTGAGGATGAATTCTGTCACATTCAGGGTTGCGCAAGATCTGGACTGGGTCTGAGTACCGTGACTGCCTCTGGTCCCCCTGGGATGAGGGAGTGGGCACTGCTCTTCTTCCAGGCAGCCCTTGCAGAGAGACTCAGGCTGTTTGGGAACAGCTCCTTACAAGACCTTTTGCTTTGCCTGTCTTTCTCAAGGCATGGGAGTCTTCCTGCAGATAGGCAACAAGTTTGCTGCTGTCATTGTTGAAATGATTGCTCCACCTTTGCTTTTGTGTGTTTGCATTTACATATCCATTACAAAGAAAAGACAGCAACTGAGCAAATGGGAAAACCTCTGGGTGGCTCATCTCAGGGTGGCATTTCCCTCTTTCTTTGGAGAGTTCACTCTCTAGCCCAGGTCCCTGGCATCTCTGTGTCTGTCACAATGGGTAGTGATACCTCCATGAACTGCAATGGAGCATGCTGTGCCCGAATTCACAAACTACTCATTTGGGATATGTTGGTGGGTAATTAATTTATTGCTTGTGCTTCTACCATGTACTACCCCTAAAGCTTATGTGTGAGGAGTTATTTTTCCAAATCTCATTTTTGCATGACTATTACTATTAACTAGAGTCTAGATCAGCTTACCCTTTTGCCATTTTTAGGCCACTCCTCACAGTTATTGTAGGCTTTTCAGTTTCAGGCCAGAATAGTTTGGAGGTGGCTAATGATGCTGGTGCTGACATGACAGAAGCAGTCAGTAGGTGGGAGGCAGAAACCTGGAATTCAAGGTGACAGAAGACATGCTGTGATAACCACATCATGCATAAACATGGATGAAAACAATTAAAATTTTTAGATGCTTTGATGATTTTTCTACAGGGGGTCATTAAAAAGTTCACATTGCTCATATGGAAAAATAAGAGAATAAGCAATATTGGAGAAAGCCAGCTGGAGACTGGAAAAGTCTAACTAGTAAAAAGTGTGGAGCAATCTTTCCAACAGACAAACTATTTCATTCCTCTCTATTGGCAAGCCAGAAGGCAAAAGAAACAAACAAACAAACAAAAAAAAGCCCAGTCCATCGAGTGCAGCTGGGTGTAGCAACAGCAGAACAGGTGAGTGAGGGCCTTTCTTAACACTCCCTTGATGCCTTGCAGTGGCAGAAAATTGGTTTTGTCCCTTTAAGTTGTGTTTAAAAAAATTTTTATGGCCTACCATAATTTCTTCTGTTCTCTTTTCACCCCTTTTTCCACAAATTTCTACACAGAAAAACTTCTTTGCTAGCTTCCATAGTATTCCCACCTCTCTTTTTCTTCTCTTAGTCTCTTGGTCTTTTTTGGTTAATCCTCCTTTCTCGCCTCTGCCTCTTCACTGTATTTTATTCAAATATGGAACTAAAATATTTATCAACCATCCCCCAGTGACTCTGATCATAAATCACACCTTCAACCCTGTTTTTCTGGATTTGTTCTGCCAGCTCCTTAGCAGATGAGATGTTTACTGCCTGTGTTTGCACAGCTCATCAGAACCTCAGTCAAAAGTCAACTCTTTAGGCTCCTATGTCCAGCAACAGTTCCTGAAGGACTTTATTTGTATCACTGCCACAGAAGTGGGAGGTTTGATCATTTAGTTAGTGTATTCCACATGTCAGTTCATCTAGACTGGGAAAGTGTACAGATCAGTCCTTGCAACTACAGCAGGAAATCTCTCTGTATTACTTAGGCTTAACAATGCTCGGTATCCTTTTTACTGTCAAAAGACAGGGTATTTTTGTGGCTAATTCCTTCAGAAAAACAAACAAACAAACAAACAAACAAACAAACAAACAAACAAGATGGGAATGACTTGGGTATGCTTCCAAAAATTTCAACTGGGCTTCTACTCATGATTTCAGAGAAACAGTATATTTTCCAGTTCCCTTTCCCTGTCTTACCCCAAAAGAAATATATGCTCCTAAGACACTTCCAGCAATAGTTGAGAATCCTGCTGTCATGACTGCATGGAGTTCAGATTTGGTGATGTATGGTAAGTAGGGCTGTACCAGGAGAGGAGACTCTGTCTGGAAGTGAAATACAACCATCAAATTAAGAACTTCTTAATAAACCCTTAGAGGTTTATTTTATTAACAAGGCAGGAAAACATGTGGCTGCATCACACTCTCTTAGGTGTCTTTGACTAGTTAATCTTAGTGCTAATGAATGCTCTGAATATTAATAGGTTTGGGGTTTCTTACCCCAAGAATGAAAATTATACCAACATCCATCTTGTGTGAAGACAATTCTTGCTGGTTTGCTGTCTTCCCCAAAAGGCCCAATTAAATTCCCAAGAAATTGTAATCCAGGTCTGAGTCGCAGATAAGGCTATGCATCAAGTGAAACATGCATACCATCCACTGTGGGCAGCTTAAAGCTCCCAGCCCCTCTGGCATGTGTGCGAGAACATCCTGGAGGCAGTGTCATGTAGAGGTACTAGTTTATATCTTAAAGCAGTGTGCTACAGTGATGCACCACTGCTGAATAACTGATGTGCTACGTTGCTTTTGGGCTTGAATCCTACTTGGTGATCTTTCCACCTTGCTTTGAAGCGTAGGACAGACATTGTTGTAGTGTGGGCTTAATGGATTTGCCATTAAAGCGGACTCAGACTCTGTCCCATGCTTTTGTGGCTAAGACCTTGCACAGCCAGCCCTGGCTCTAAGTTTTCTGCATTGTCTGTCTCTCCTGCCCTTGCCTGCCTCATGTGTCCTCTTTTTATCCCATTTGCCTTTTCAGTTGAAAAAAACCTGAAATTGTTACTTTTTCATAGCCTTGGAGTAGTCTGGTAGTCATTTTAAGGGTGATCTACCACCTACATTTATGCTTGACTTTCTGTTGGGAAGCATATGGTTCCCAAACCCCACCCCATTGTGCATCACTGCCAACACATAATGTACAGGAATTCTGGAAATCAACCACCTGTACCACTGTCCTAGCTTCATATGAAATTATGATTTTTTATAAACAGGTGCTCACTGAGCAGCAATATTTCACAATATTCTGTAATCATGTGACTCACCTGCCCCACAAATATGTTACCCGTAGCTACCAGAGACTCAACAGGAGTTGTCCCCATGAAAATTTGCATTATCCAACCAACCTAAAATGATTAAAAAAGAAAAAAAAACAAAACACATTGCTCTGACTATTTCTTGCACTTCTTGAATTAATCATGTCAATGTAAGAGTTCTGAGACACCTTACAATATTTCCCGAGTTAATGATTTCAGGTTCAAGACATTGCACGTTCATTTCATAGTAGCGTGTTGAAACAAGCCAGAGAAGTAATAATTTAGCAGAACTGACAGTACACCAGGACTTGTCCTGGGCACTAAATTGTTAAACTAAATTAATTGAAGAAGATATTTTGATGTGCCCTTGTTCCTTATGTACCTTTCCAAAGGGACTTGTATCATATGAATGGGAAAAAAAAGTGAAATTTAAATTAAGGCTAAAAATGCCTCATAGAAATTTTAGCACACTATTTCAGCTAGGTGATGTTTGTGGTGCTTATATAACAATCATGTGAATGAGAAAGACAAATGACTTTTTAAGAGTATCTTCAAATAAGATTTAACTAACACCACACAGGAAGATCTTTTCCCTCATAAGATAAGATGGAGGTGGACTTCCTGTGGACTTGCTCTTCTTATCTACAGGAGACAACGGCACTGGACAAGGGCCTGATAGAAATGAACACTTAGAGCATGGGGTGAGGAACTAGCCTCTGATCTTATTCTGGGGGTCTGTGATAGGAAGGTGTATGCAATTGCTACTGCAATGTTTAGTAGAAAGCAGAAATCCAGTGTCTGTGGTGTAACCTCGGTCCTGCACTTTGGGGGCTGGGAGAGGGAAAGGCGGAAAGGAAGACTTAAGCAAGTACGGCATCTGAGGAATGCTAAAGCTAGCCAGGCAAATCTAACAATTACTATGATGTTAGTAAAAAAAACCAGGTTGGGGGATGGAAAGTGTGTTATGTGATGCCAGTTAGGATTTTGCAGCGGTAACCTCTGGGACTATTTCCAGGATAAAAATAAACAACTACTTTTCATATGTCTAGCCCTGAAGAGCTTGATCAGGGCTAACGCTACAAACTGGCTGTGTGTGCATTCATTCAAGGAGTGTCCTGTACTAGGCAAATGAGTACTACTGGCAAAAAAAAATCATACCTTTCCAATGAGCCACTGCATGAATCCAACGTGGTAAAGCATAGACATTACTGTGCTGAAGAAAACCACAATTGGCAGGACCTGATTTGGAGACACAAAACCATTAACGCTTCTAGAGCAGTTTTCCTTTCCTTGAATCTGTAGGCCATTTGATTTTTGAAAAAGAGGCTTGCTTTCAATACTTAAAGGTATTGAAAACTCATAATTAAGTTTACACTTATGCTGTAAAATTTCCAACCTTCTAGACTCTATGTTTGTGCTGGAATTAACTATTTTTCATGTATCTACATAGTTTTCTAGAAGGACTGCAGTAGTTTTGAAACTATCTGGTTTAACATGATATGCATTAGTTTATAGCTCAAACACTCACTGGGCAATGGTATCCACAAAGACTTGGATATCTGTACACTTCAAAAACCATGAACAGAAATACATACAATAAGACTGTGGTATAGAATTCAGAGGTCAACTTATCTGTAATCTGTGTTTAAACAACACAGTTTAGACTGCTATATAAGCAGAAGTTTAATAGATTTTGATTGGGATCGTAGCTGACTTAATTATCAAGGGCAGCTTCCTTAGAAAGCCCATACTGTGTAGCTGCCTTTTAATAACACAGTGTAGAAAAATCCTCTTTTATTCTGTTCTATCTATAGCATTGATTATAATGCCAATGTGGAGTATATAAGAGCTCTGTAACTGTATGCAGAGACAGAATCTGCTTAAAAACAAATTCACAGGTGTATACTTATTAAATACAAGAAGTGAACATAAGCCTCTTTCAGTGGAGACTGAAGGAAAAAATTTTTCCTTGAACATACAATTTAAAAGAATTGCATGAATGCTTAACCCAGGTTTGTTTTTTTTTTTTGTTTGTTTTTTTTTCCGTCCTGAATAAAACTACTATCACTTGATGCTCAAGTGCATTAAATACACAGGATCTCAGCATTTCTATGCTAGTATACAACAGGAAGAAAAATCTCCCCAAGAGGTCTAAAATCAGGCAGAGATGTTAGTTACAGTTAAAACAGTGCCACTGATACTAGGAAGCTTTTATGTGTCTTCAACTGAGGGCATAACACATTATAAATAAAAGCAGGGAATAGAATAAGAAGAGCAAACCATTTAATTCAGAGCTTTTCAGTAAATGGAAGCCGTGCCTTCCTAGAGGAGAGTTAGCACTATCAGAAGTTTTGATAAAGGTTTGGAAACTCAATTTAGATGATCAGAACCTTTCACTGAGAAGAGAGAGTGCAATTCACAGATATTGTTGTGCTCTTCAGCAAGTTAATATGAGGCTGCTTTCTCTAGTTTGATTCTCTGATCCTTTTAGCTATCCTCTAGGGGAGGTTTGCCATGCAGTGGTTTCGGTACCACTTTTATCCCCCATCTGTTCTCTCCTGACATTTGCCCTCCCTGTTCCTGAGCATGTGCTAGACGGAGAGGCATCTGCCTCCCAGCCGACTCCATACCCTTGCACAAGTAGGGACCACCGTGGTGCCTGCAGAGAAAAGGGTCTGGAGACACAGTGGGCAGACAGGCAAAGGTCAGCTGTCTGTACTGGATGGTAAAAACCATAAGCGAGTGTCCTGTCTTTCACTCCAAATATATGGGAAAAGCTCTCAGGTTTGAGAGCTGTGGTTTGGTTTTGGCTGAAAGAGTGAGAAGACAATGTTCTGCCTGTGCTGGGTGACAGCTGGCACCCTTCGGCCTGTTTCTTGTTCAAGTTCCTCTGAAAATACCTTAGATAACTTTAAAACATGCTTTTCCATTTTTGTGGTTGCAGGCATTTCTGGATGAAGCATTTGTCTTTCAAAACAGGGAATTTGTTTTCCAGTTGTCATCATTTGTGCCTTGACAGCATAAAGAAGTTGGGGAATATTTTATAACTAAACACTCCTGCCTAAATCCCCAGTGACTTAATGTGGCATGTATTATGTTATGTCTTCCTCAGAAAAGCATAGCGACCATTTGACAGGTAAGTAATTGTAATGATTTGTCATGTCCAGGCTAGCTTTTATCTAAGGCATAACAAAATCACGTGGAAAACACTCTCTAAAATAATCAGAATGTAAATAACCTATTTGCAACACATCCCATTGCAGTGGGTTTTCAATTGCATTGTCTGCAGAGATAAATGCAATGAAAAGCACTTAACATGAAACTAGTTCAACTGAAAAAAACCCAGAACTCTCTTATAGAAAGGCTCCCCACAGTGTGATACACTGAAGTATTAAGTCAGTGGTTTTGAAACTTGGGAGAGAGAACAGCCTCAGGAAAACTCCTTCTGTCCAATGTCTATATGGAGTGGCCACCTCCTCTCCACCAGCCCCAGGAGGAACTTTGCCTTCATGCGGTGCCCATGTAGGATTGCACGTTGCAGGTGGGCCTGGAGTGGGAAAACTGATGCAGGAGGGTCTTCTCCCACTCCCCATCCTCTCCTTCCCCCTCTTTGCAGTGACAAAACCAGGAGAATAGGTGGCATAGGATCAATAATGTTGTTGGAGGGCTCCCTCTGAGGGTCTTAGGGCTTGGGTAGCAGGGCGTGCATGTCCAGGCAGTACCTTGATGGTGAAGAGCTGTGCAGGGGCATGGGAGAGGGAGGAGAAAGCTCTGGTGGTACTCCAGGGTCAGGCACGTGGTGAAGCGCCTGGAGGGAGAAGGGAGCCCAGGCTAGGAGCAAGTCTGGGGAGGGTGGAAGGAGCCCAGGCTTACTGGAGCTGCAGGTACAGGATCTGGGGAGGCGAGGAGGGGAATAGACCATGCAAACCTTTGTGTTTGAGGTGGAGTCTGGAGGGCTAGGTGATTAGGGGGGACAGACATATACACATGGAGGCAGGACTGTTAGGAAAAAAGGAAGCACAGGAATGATCCAAGGAGTCTAGGGACAGTTTGCCTTTGTAACTATGCAGCTGTCACATGCCCCGTGTGTGTAGGAATATCTGCACAGCAAGGGGAGATCATGGTATAACATCTGCCTTAATTGTCAGTATTTCCTTTGTTGGTTAAATGTGAAATGTATTTGGTCAAGAGTCCCCTTTGGTTTTGTTCTTCTTTTTTTCTTTTTTTTAAAAAAAAAAAAAACAAAAAACATTTACTGATTGCATTAAATTGCTTTTAAGGAAAGAAAAGCTCTTAAAACTCATTCTTCTGTCTCATGGACTCTAAGTTCTCTTTTCCTGCTGTAGTGCCCTTATTCTTTGAGTACAAGAGTCTGCCTCAAAGATGCGACTACTCTGAACAGGGAGTGACAAAGGGGTTGTCTCCAACTTGATTCTGCCTTTAAAAATGTCAACCAGTTTAATCTGGATATACGCACACCATTAAGCCCGTAGGTGGAGACAGCTGTCAGCTCTGAGAAAAGTAGGGAGAGAACTGCAAAAGCAAACATGACAGGGAAGTCAGATAGACCTCAGCTGTAGCAGAAGCCTACCCTCAGAAGGGGCTAGCATGTTTCCATATGGGAGGAGTGGATGGTCCTGCAGTGTAATTATGCCTGCATGGTTAAACTATTAGAATTATATTTCTCTCTGTGGACAAACTTATGTGGAAGTTTAGTCTCCAATATGTATACTTCCTGATACCCCCTACTTACCTTTAAATAGTCACACTTTAACAGATGAATAAATTTAATGAGCACTCTGAAAAATCCCACAACATTTCAATGGAGAGTTGGTATCAGAGCCTTTTAGAATTACATTTATGTGGCCTACAGATGTTGCAGTTAATGCCTCCTATAATAGTACCGCTAAGAAAATTAATTCTTTAATTGGTATTTTTTTATAAACTAGGTTATTTCATATTTATCATCAAGCAATATAACTTACTTTACTAAAGTTTACTAAGTAGCTCTTACTAAAGAGCTACTTTCCAGATCATGGTTATTGCCCATGCTACATGCAGGGCAGAGAGTTGAAATTGTTGGCTGCTCACAAGTCCTCTCCTATTTGTGACTTGATGTTCAGCTTTTTCCTTATGTCCTTTAAAGGAGAAGTTACTATTGATGTTTAAGGAACATCTTGGTTTCAGAGACTCCTAAAGCCCGACCTTCAAAGCAAAGCCTTTCTCAGGGACCCATAATCCTCCTGGCATAGAAAGGAAGCTCAACACAAACTTTATCTTTTGTAGACAGCAGGATAGATGACAGTGCTAAGAGGTTTTTTTTCTGACTACTTAAGTACTTAGGTGTGCTAGCTTATCTGGGCAGGTTTTTTTTTCAGAACTCTGAACCTCTGCATCTGCATATACCAATATGCATTTAAAATAATCCAGTTTATGCATGCAAATGCCTGCATTTATGACTAATTAGCACTTCCAAGGCTATGTGCTCAAAGGCTGTAGTGGGACTGGTCAAAATGCTCAGTGGGTGCACGCAAGAGATATCTCTGCTCTGGTAACAGCGTTCATTTAAGTTATCCAAAAATTGAGGTGTCCCTGCATGCTGCTAAGGGTGCAGTATGGATACAAAGATACCCATATTGCAAAGATATCTTTCTGCAAAGATACACCCTATCACTTGTCTACTGTATCTCAAGAGCTAAGCCAAGACTGAGACATTTCTCTTTTGGAGGGCACTTTGAAATATCTTGGGGCAAGATTTGGACAGCTCAGTGCTGCATGCAAACATCATAAAATATCTGAAAGACACAAAAAAGCACTTCTGACTGTCTTAATTTCTAAATAAATTGCAAGAGTTTAAAGAGAGAATAGGCTGGTTATCACTCACTGATATTGGAAGAGAGAAATCTTTTTCTACACGAGGAGCAGATGGTGCATGTTTTGGTGCTGCTGTTCACTTGTCTGCCACTGTTTACCATATATATTCCTATACCAAGACATATGCAGCTCTGAAAATCAACTCATGGGTTTTGCTTTCTTGCTTTTCAGTGTGAAAATAACTTACTTGTCCCTGTTACCCTCTTCTAGAAATTCCACTGGCTTATCCCATAGGCTGGAAGTAATATTTCTTTCAGTGACCAGGTAGGAGCCTTTTAACCTATTCCCTGTAGAAACATAGCCCAAAGTTCTGTCTACTTGTAATATATGTTGTTATAATCAGGCTAAATAAGTGTAACCTAACTCAGTGTATGGCACTAAATGAAGGGCTTTATGTGGGGTTCACAAATTTTCCATTTGGAGTGTCACACAGTAAGGAATAGTTTACCTCTTAGCTGATCTCTCCAGTGACTGTACTGGTATCACAAAACATACAATGAATTTATTTTCCAGCAATACTGTTCTTTTTTCTGTTGTCTATCTGTCACATACAATATATATAAAACCTGTCTTACCTTAAAAGCAAAGAAATGATCTGTGTATTTCTCACCGAACACAAACTTAGCACCTATGTCAGAGTACTCCAGAAAAGTCTAGGGACAGAAATCAAAGAGAGTTAGCCATAAACTCCAGGTCTCTGACAAAAACTATGCAACTATTTCTAGTTGTCTTGCAGAGATCTGGTGAGGTCCAAGGAGCTTGTGCTCTGCACTGTATGGGTCTAGGCTTCACTAACTGTGTCTAGCTGAACCAAGAGTCTCCACTCTGCTCTGCAAAGAGTGCAGGTTGCTTTAGAGTATGCAAATAAAGAGCAAGGGAATGGGGCATATCTTCCAGCAGTACCCAACATGATAAAGACCATAAACTATACTAAAACAATAATTTATTTTTTAATCCCAATACTGCAGTGCATTTCTACACTCCTTCTCATGCAAATAAGTGCAACAAACAATACAGTTTAAAATGGAGATCTAATGGATGAAGTAATGAGTTTTAAAAGGAGTAGCCAAAAGCTAGTCTAAAAAAAATATTCTACTTTTTAATTCTGATACGGTGGTGCATTTTAATACTCCCAATGCCAGCATATGCAACTAGTGATACAGTTTACAATGGAGATATAATAGCTAGAGTAATGAGTTATGGCAGGGGGGACCGTAAGCCATATGGAGCTAAAGAAAGGGGGCACCAGACCCGCTTCAGTTGGAGACAAAAGGGGAGATTCAGAACCTGGTGACAAAACCCAGATGACTCCCACTGCTTTCAGATTAGCAGCCAGACAGACGTCAGACCTGTGCCTTCACCCCCGCGCAGAGACAGTACATTCTGCACTGCCTTGTTTTAAATGCGCTTAATTACCTGTACTGCGAAGAACAGCTGTGTGAATAGTATCCCTGGGGTGAGAAGTCTAAATGTCCTTCAGTGGATACTCTCTGATCTACATTTTGGATTTCTCTTATTTATTGCTTTACAGTAATGGACTTCTTAAAAAAAATTTGTGCCTGCAGGCTGACCACAGGGTCAGCTATGGACAGATCCTCTCCCCTCTCTAGAGATCCTTTGCTGCTTGCAGTTGTGGATTTTGCCACTTGTAGTTGAATTAATTTTCTTACATGTCATGAAAACTACGAAATGTTCTGAGGCTCGAACTGTGGCTACTTTGAAAATAACGGTCGTTCTGCCTTGATAAATCCCAAGGTTTTTCAACATATCAGGTTTACTGTGAGAATGCTTTGGAGTTGGGCCAGGTCTAACAGTTTCTATGAGTGCCCTGGCACAACAGCAGTTCTGTGTTTGAAGGGTGCCAGTTAGAATTTCAGCCCACGGATGGTAAAGACATTAAGAAACAGGGTCACTCTGGCCATTAATCATCAGTATGTCCCACATGGTCTTGTATTAACTGGACAAAAAAGAATTGAGAAGGTTGAATTCAGGAGACAATTACCTTTCTGAGAACCCAGTTTTTCTCGAGAGGGGAAAGCATGTGGGGACAAACAGACCCTTGAACTGGCTGTCTGTTATGTAAGAGTCTCAAGACAGAAATGACATAAAAAATAATTTTTTTTGCCCAGTAGCTTACCTGGATCTGAATGCCTAGCCAATTGAATATGTCAAACCCCACACTGGTCCTCAGAATAAGAACCCCAAGAATAAACTGCATTCCTATTCCCGAAAATACTGGTCTCCAAGCAACCTGGATGGACCGAACAGTAAAAATAAAGAAATCACTTGTTATTTAAATAAATAATAATTTACTTTAGATGTTTGTTAAAATAATGTAAGAGGACTGTCTGACTGTACTGCAGGACAGGAGCAGTTGCTAAAACAGGTTGTAGGGGACTTGGAGTGTGAATCACCTCTCCTAATTTGAGGATGTGGATGTCTCCATTTGAGATAGTAGCTGAAAGCCTGTCTATGTAAGTATGGACATGCGCATTTCACCATCACAGAATGCAAATAATCAAGTAGTAGGAAAAGGAGAGGTAGTTCTTGTGAGACAGTTTACAGCTGAAATAGACACACATGAGGACAACAGACATGATTCTTCTTTTTTTTTTTTTCAGTTGGAATGGAAACATAAAAAAAAATGTGGATTCTTCACATATCTGGACTGGGAATAAAAAGATTTTGCTTGGATAATTTCAACTCTGTTTCTGTTACCCAGCTTTAAAGAGCCTTGATACTTGAGAACTACTCACAGTTAGGTATTGTGATTCACATTCAGGAAAACTGTGGCCATCTGTGACCAGTCCCTCTTCACTATGCTGCAGATTTCTGCACTGTTGCCTCAGAAATAATCTTTGTTTTGTGAAAATTGAATCTGATTATTTACAAGGCAAGGAGCTGAGATGGCACTCTCTAATTTATTCAGATGATATTTGAATAACACAAGCCAATTAGGTGTAATGAGGACCCATGGGAGAGCACAAAGTATTCAGAGTACATGTGTTTTCCACCCCAGTTGGAGACAACAGCAGTTGCAAATGATGGGGAGTGGTAGGTCCCTTAGCCCCTACTGGACTTTTTCTGTTAAGAAAGTCTCAGCACTGATGCAGGAGGGCTGAAAAAATATTGGTGAAAGTTGGTGACCTGGACAATGGAATAATGTATGACTGATGAAAGCATGTGCTGTATGCTAGGCATTCACACAGGGGTAAAAGCTGAGGTGGGAGTTGTGGTGGCTGAAGTAACTGCTTTGTAATATCACAGCAGTACAGAGTGGACATCTCAACTAGAAAACTAAAATAAATGGCATTGACAAGCCTTTAGCCTGGAAAAGAGGAGACTGAGGGGTGCCCTAATCAATGTTTATAAATATGTAAAGGGTGAGTGTCAGGAGGATGGAGCCAGGCTCTTCTCTGTGACATCCAGTGATAGGACAAGGGGCAATGGGTTCAAGCTGGAACATAGGAGGTTCCACTTGAATATGAGAAAAAACTTCTTCACAGTGAGGGTGACAGAGCACTGGAACAGGCTGCCCAGAGAGGTTGTGGAGTCTCCTTCTCTGGAGACATTCAAAGCCCTCCTGGATGCGTTCCTGTGTGATCTGATCTAGGTGTTCCTGCTCCGGCAGGGGGATTGGACTAGATGATCTTTCGAGGTCTCTTCCAATCTCTAACATTCTGTGATTCCGTGATTCTGTGAAGCCTATGAGAGCGGGTTAGTGAAAAGTGAGGACCTCAGCTTGGCCTCAGGTGCTGCATTCACAGGGGGAGTCAAACTTGTAATGGATTAAGAGCTACACAAGGGAAACACATTTCCAGTTCCACGCAATTCATGGTGATATGGTACCAGTGTCCTCAAATAAGTGCCTGTGATGTCCTGAGGACTGTGGTGAGCCTCCCGTGCGTGGAAGGTACTGAGCATGCCTGCCTCAGCTTGCACTGATGCTCCAGGAGCAAATATGTTCCAGTCTGCATCAGGGCTGGAACAAAGGATTGGCAGGAGCTTCCCAAAATAGTGAGAGCCAGATGCTGGTACAGCCCCACAGATGCTTCCCAAGATGTCAGAGCAAAATGACTTTCCCCAGAAATTAAATATATCACTGGCTTTTGGCAAGCCTAAATTTTTACATTCATGTATTTTATGTTACTATTACTGAAATTGGTGCTAGGGCAGGGGAATAGTTTTTGAGACATTGAACAAAAAAACCCCCAAAAGATCCAACATGGAATAAATACTCACTCTGGTTGGATATTTGGAAAAGATAAACATCAAGAGAACATACATCACAAGCCCACCAAAGGAGATCAGCTGGCGGGATCCATGTTTTGCTGTGTCAAAGATGAGCCAGCAGATGATAGTTATAATAAGAGTGGCACTCAACACCCTAGGAAAAAAAAAAAAAGTGTTAGGCATGACATCCTGAAGAAGACCAGATATTTCTTCTCTTTCTCCTCCCCATAACACCTAAATCTCTGTGAGTGAACTCTCTGAGCAACGTACTGAGCTGAAATGTGTAGCTCTACACAAGCAGGAACCTCCCTTTGCGGTTGCAACTTCGACAACAACATCCCTGAGGTGGCATCTAGAAGATATATCCTCCAGTGATGTCCCCAAGGTCAGAGTGTGTGGGAAACCCAATAAGGCATGAGTGACTCTTGTCTGGGTGTTATTTCTATTAAATGAAGTGTGAGAAGATACCCTCCTTTCTCACTCCATCCTCCTTTTCCTTTATTGAGTATTTTCTTATCTCTGGGCAAATCAGACTGTGGTTTTTATGAATTGCACTGTGATGTTTAACTGATGGGCCTATGAAACACACAGTATTGAGGAGCAGGTTATAAAGTGTTTACTTCTTAGTAACCGACTTTAGTCTATTTAGAAAAATAACTTTTAATCGCAACAATTTTAGCTATCTCAGAAACAATGACAAGAGCCAGGTGTACACCTGTGTTCAGTGTTTCTATGATTCCAACTACCACAGAACTGTGTTCAGCTTGCATATTGAAGGTAATTGTCACAACAACAGCCTGAGAGGCAAGGAAATGCATCATGCCATTAACAGAAAGGAAAACTAAACGTAGTCCCAGTTCTTCAAGGTAACTTGTGTCTAACGGTTGTTTAGCTTCCACTGATTTGAGTGGTACCTGTATACCTAAACTCCAGTTTTAGACCTGGACTAAAAATATTGCAGGTCAGCTCCATGAAATGGATTGGCCATCGCAATGCTGAATAATGCTGTCTACACCTGAGTGGCTTTCTGTGTCTTGGAGGAACCTGTGACCTACAGTTCAGCACTTAATTTGTAATATGTACAATTTAAGGATTGTAGCCCAGGTAATACACCACTTATTGCCTCTGGTTTGTTCCATCTGCTCATCAGGGCTCTCCTGTTCTGTTTGCTTCTTTTCCCAAAGCGGTTGCCAGATCGTGTAATGGAGGTGCCTGTGTGTGATTGCTCTCTAATGTGGCTCCTGAGCAGAAGACCCACAATTCTTATAGCATATTTCTAAGGAATTCCTATTTCTGTGGCAAAACTATTTCAAAATCTTAAAAATAAGTTGGGACATTTTCCTGAACCCAGAGTAACTGCTCCTTAGAACTCTTTCTCTCTCAGAGAGAAGGTGACCTTAGCTGAGACAGAAAGGCAACTGGCCAATTTCCTTTTTGTTTTTAATGAGATTTCATTAGCTCTTTTCTTCAGTCTACGAGCCTCCTTTGGAAGGAATTTTCCCAGGAATAACTTAAATATTCCCAATAACTGCTTGGGTATACTTGGAATAAGTATTTAGCAGATCTAAGTATCCACCATTTACCTACCAGATGGATGTTTACCATCCCAAATAAGGTTGTATGATCTTATTATGACACTAAATGTGGCTGGCATGTTTTGATTCCTGAGAAACAAGTGAAAATTGCTGCCTGGATATGTGAACAACTAGAGTTTAGATAACACGTTTCGGTCTTTATCAGTTTGCATATGTTAGAGTTAAGGTTTTTATTAATTTCACAGCTCTCTGAACAACTGACAGCAAGGCACTTCCTGGTTTGCATAACAAATGCAGAAGGCTACAACACACCTGAACTTCTGTGAACATGTTCTCTTGCAACCACAAACTTGTCCTATCTCAGTTTGAGGAACTTTTTTACACTTTCTGTCAAGATTTTTGATACGTAGCTACTGTATTGCAATCTTAAAGGTATGCCTGACACTTCTAAAGTGGAAAATATTGAATTATTCGGTGTGTATTCTTTGATCTTATTGCAATTTGTATGATTGATCTATCTCCCTTTGTTTTTGGGGGTGTAAGTTGAAATAAAACTATAAGGGTAGATTGACTAATGCTTTGTCCTTCTGCATAAATAAGAAGTAATTAATATTTACCACTTCAGCCAAAACCACTGTTCCTCCAGATACTTTTCTCCAGGGGAAAACAATGCAGCAATCCTATCTTCATATATAGCTATTAAAAAATCCCAGCAGATGAAGAAGATGGCTAGGAGAGTGATGATAAAGAGTGGCAAGGCTCTCTGAAAATTCAAGCTGCAGGCTGCAATAACTGCTGCCAAGTATGCTGTCACAGAAACAAGAGTATACATGTCAGTCAGGTTGGTCTTTTCAGAAATATAATAAAATCTTAAATTTAAAGGATGTGGCTAAAGTCAGGCCTGCTAACTTTTGGCCTTAATGCTGAAAAATTTTGTTTTCATAGATAGTGTTACTTACAATATCCTCATTTATATGAAAGGTGTCTTTCATCCTGTCAAAGCGGGTTATATGCTTTGGCCAAGCAAATCTCACATCAAATACATTAATCACTTGGGAAGCTTCGAAGTAGTTTATTTTGTAATATAGCTGTGAAATTATTTGTCATTCGGCAGGTTCATTGCTAATATGTGCTGGCCAATGAAATATTCAGTTCTTGTAAACAGATATCTGATTTTGTCTATGGCAAATAAGGAAGAACTACTGATTTCTGTAAGGCAAATTGTTTTTTAACGGAAATAACATGAAATCCTGACATATCCTTAGAACTCTCTTTCTTGAGGCAGGATGTGGCTGTATTATGACAAAGCAAGATGAGCTGATGTTAGGATGGCAGGATACTCAGCATGCAAGCAGCCCTTTTATAACCACTTTATAGTATGCTGATGCCTGTCACACAGACATATTTTAGGTCTATGTGTTCTCAGTATTCAGGTAGGAGAATCTCAGAAACAAGCTGTGAACTGGAAGGAAACAAGCCAATCTACTGGCTAATTAGGAAAGGGACAAAGAATAATATCCAAATGGCTTTGCAGTGCATACTGACATAAACCACATTTCCTTTAGCAAACTCCTCTGCAGATACTGAGTGATATGGGTCAGAACAGAAAAGTTTCATTTTTAGCCTGCTGACTGAAGTTCAGTCCAAGTTGATGCCTGACTCTTTTTAGCGTGATTTCATGGTTTTGGACAAGTTCCTAAGCCTGTAATTTAATGGACCTGTTGGAGGGGGCTGGTAATAGAGTAGACACAAAGACTTAACCACCCTTTTATCCCAAATGTAAAAATTGCTAGTTGGAGTTGAAACATGCTGGAGGAGTAGAGTAGCATGATCTGTGCTTTTGTTAAGTTTGGGAATGAGTGGAGGTTTTGCAATCTGGAGCTTTCTCTGGGCCTAAATTAACTTTCACTTCCTTTCAAACTCATTCTTTAAGACAGTCAAGGGTTTTTGTGTCAGACAGGCAGTCTGTAATCTTACATAGGTAAACAAATAAGGCTTCAGCAACCCTGGGTGTAATATACTGTACCTGTTATTAAAATTCCATAGATCATATAGTGAATTCTGGTTTTATGTTTCCTGCAAAATTCACAGGCTTTATCATATTTCTTTTCTAAATGCCTAGAAAAAGGAAAAAACAAACAGAAAGTTAAGATGTAGATAAGAAAGAAGAGTAATTTGTGTGGAAAGATCAGGTTAAATTGGTCAAAATTTCTCCACTGGAGTATGCTGCACTTGATACATGTTAAATTTGGATCCCAAAGTGACAAAGAAAATCGTGCTGACAAACGCAGAGCTTTTGTGGGGGACTTCTTTGGTTTGATGTTGAACAAATGAAAAATATAATCTGGTAGATATCTAATGGGGTAATCTGTCAACTATTTAACGGGTCAAAGTTAGCAGTGCGGTTCTGCTAGCCTCTGAAGTATAGCTCTTCTGAAAGGAGGTCTGTTAACAGGGTTAGTGTAAACGGGGTAGGTAGCTAAAGATACAGTGTCCATTACCAGACCCACAAAGATTGTAAATACATCCAGCCCAGCATTGCTGTGTGGAGCAGCAATACGGCTGTAGTTGTGAAGGCCTAGGGTTTGTGTGTGCAAAATAAGCAATATAGATCTAAATCCTTATTACAGTGTGCATAGATATTTCTGAATATTTGAAAATTTGGCTGTTAATTACGTTAACTTTTAATTCAAGACTCAGCAGTTCATGGAAGCTAAAATGATTTGTTATATTTGAATGTCCTTTTCTAGTATCTGTCCTTCCAATTATTACCTACTTCACTTTTGTTCTTTTCCCACCTCCCTAAGGGTAACACAGTGATTTCATGATGGAGGCTGAACTTATAGCAGTTAAGGGAGTTCATTCAACACAAATTTCCAATGTTAAGTATGCTGGTGATGCAGACCTATTTCAGTTACAAAAGCTGTTGCTAAATAAATACTCTCATATTGTGTAAACTGAAAAAGAAATCACAGCTATAGCTCTGTCTCTCTGAAGTGGTGCCTCACATCCTACAGTCTATAAAGGCAATGTTATATTTAGAGATGTTAATTATCCAGACTGTACTTCTTTGGAAACTAGATGCAGCTGGCGTCAGATGCACACCAAAATTCAGCATGAATACCCTTCTTTTCTGCACTAAAAAAACCCAAAAAAACCAAAAAAACCCCAACCCTATTAATTTAAAATCAGTTGGAGAGAAGGAAGGAATATTAACTTAATCTACAGCACTCAGAAGAGCAGAGCAGAAACATACTCCTTCACCAATACAAAGGGTAACAGGGTCTCAGAGAAATCTGGATTGCTTTTGATATTTCAGTTTTAGTTCTGGGAATTCCTGTTGCCTCACAAATCATAGCTTTTTTTTTTTTTTTTTTTTTTCCCAAATGTCATCTCGCAAGGACACTAGGTTATCTACCCAATCTCATCAGAGAGATTAGATACAAAAGGAAGAGAAAGAAAAGGAGAAATGAGAGACAGATGCACGAATAACTCAAAGTTATTTTATCAAATTTATGGTTCATCCATCAGCCAAAAAAAAAAAAATCTGTTATCTGTTGCTGCTACTTATGAGTCCTTTGGGGTTTAAAATTGTTATTTTAAGATTACAATTCCTTGTAACCTCTTCTTTGCTCAACCATCTCTCTCTCCCTTGTTATTTTATTAATTTGGGTGATTATCACTTTGTTACCAGGATATCTTAAATATTTAGGCATATATGTCTTAAATATGCAGCTCTGTTCTGAGCAATGGCAGAAAAAACATCTTCTTTATGACATTTGTTTAATTCACTAAGGAAACTTTATTTTCTAAAAGCTGATCCTATAGGCTTAAAGCGCATCTCATTGCTGTTGGCTTTTAGTTAACCAAAGATGTTGAAAAAGCAAATGCCACTTATGCACCCTTAAAGGAGAAGTTTAATGTGAAATACTTGTATAAGCCAAAACTACTCTTGCTTGCATTTTGCAACTCAGAAATGCTTTTCCTGGTCTGTATGTACTCTATAAGTGAATGCCAACACCTTGCACATGTGGTGAATCCTTTTTAGCAACAGACATCTTTCAAAGTCTCTGACCACCGGCTATTCAGTACTATCTGTTGAAAGAAATTGATGACACAGTCCAAACTGAGGCATGCTGAATGCCCCTTTTGAGCAGATACTAGGAAGACATTAGAGCACATTAGTGCCCGCTTTTAGGAGCTAATTTACAAAAAATAACTCGGCAGAGATACCATTGCCCCTGTCAGATGCTCATAAAAATAAACATATACAAAGTACAAAAACAAGTACGAAACCGGAGAGCACAGAACAAGCCTGAATGTAATCAGAATAGGGCAAAGTGCTCTTCAGCTTTGAGCCTGTGAGGAGCTTTCACTGTCCAGGGCAGTCGTACCTGCTGCTGATGGAAGAACAAGGGTATCTCAGGAACAGTAAGCCCTGTGAATTAAACCTTCTTTATCCCTTGGCTCTCCATGGGAGCACAAATAAACAACAATGAATAAAAAACATATAGGCTTCATCTCTGCCCCAACTCAACCCATCTCTGTGCAGAGATGCCTCTTGTCGAGGGACTCCTGGGGGCCGAGGTTTGAGGGGGAGACACCCTGATAACCCTGCACAGGCATTTGCGTGCCAGCACTTGCCTGTGAAATTAGTTTACTTCTGGGGAGATGCTGGATACCTGCCACCAGAGAGGTTTCTCAAACTTGGATGTTTGGTCTATCAAATGTCAGGTTTTGTTTTTGATAGACAAGAACATAAATGTTTTAAAAAAGAAAGTGTTTCATGTTATGTATTGGTAAAGGAATGACAAATCTCCAAAGAAAAAAGAGGAGAAACAAGGATATTTAAGTGACTTCTAAATACTTTTGCTAGATTTTCGAAGCAGTATTTTAATGTGATGGCATCAGTAAACCTGATCATATTAACAAGTCTTTAAGTTCTCTTTTTACAATGTGAAAGCATAATTAAAGTCTTCACAACTGCTTCTGTATGTAAGTGCATCATGTGTATAGGCTTGAGACATTTCCAAGTAGTCCAATTTGAGTGAGATAAACTCCTATTTGAGATATCCAGTAAGTGAGTTGCTAGAATCTGCTGAAAGACTGGTTCAAAGCTGAAATGGTGTGCTGTGTAACAAAATGCAGTCATAGAAATCAGGACAAAAGTACAGTATGATTTCTGTGAAGGTTCATATGACAGAAAAATACTAATACATTAAGATAAAAAATGTAAGTATTGTATCTTAATTTCTTTTAACTTTTTGTGGGTTTTTTGCCAAAAAAAACCCAATCCTCAAGTAAAAGTAGACGTGTGCTTTAACTGTGTGGTCACTTGGAACCAGTGTTAGTGAAGGATAAAAATTCTGCTCCATTAAAATGGCTTTTTTAAAAAAGTTATTCTGTTCTTATTTTGCACTGGTGTAAATAGCTATGCAAACTGAAGGACAATAGTAAATCTCTGACTTCCTGGAAGAGATCACTGTTAATGACTTTTCTTTAAAAAGGTCCTGATGGAAATACTGGAAAAGCAGTTAATGTACAAAAAGAAAAAAAATATTGATCCTTCAATTTGCAAGGCTTTCGAATGATAGTTCCATGATTGCATGTGTCAGATGAAAGGTATAATAACTTTAAATACAGTGTGTTTCTGTATTTTACAAATTGCTGGGCAATACAAAGGTCCATGTGGCAGTGAAATTTAGAGCTGTAGCTCTAGAAGCAGAAACACTGTCAGCTTATTGCTTAGGCCAGGCTGAAGTGAGTGGAAAACTTACTCATCCAAAAGACATTACCCTTTCAAGCATGGCTGCTCATCATCTATGGAGTCATGTTTGTTTTCACGCTGATCACTCTCAATGTTGATGTATTCATCCTCCTGGAAAACAGATCAGAGCTGAGGCTGTGAGAGGGGTGCATGCTTGTTAACTAAGGTGTGAAAAAACAGATCGCCAGTGACAGATGGCTGGAGCAGTCTCGAGACTTTCCCGTCTGTACTGACTGCATGACTCCAGCTCTCCTGTCTGCCACCAACGCTATGATCAGTATCAGGCAAACCCTGACCGTGGATGTGAACTTTCCCCAAGCCACCCACACCATTTTGGAAGGGGAAATAAAAGGGAAAAAGAAAAAACCAAACAAAGAGTGTTTCTCAGAGTTGAAGATGGCCCCATACAGAGTACCACACACCTTTTTGCTACCTGAACCCACATAAGCCTGGCTGCATTAAAGCTTTTGAACAGCCGCACTCTGACATTCACCATGTTCAAAGACTGTCCCCAAGATGGCTGAGAGCAGCACAGCTCCCTGAAGCTGCTCGGCACACCCGTGGGGGCTGCCTTGCCCACCCCACATTGCTTTCCCCAGCGCTTGCTGGAAGGGCAGAGGGAAAGCTCCTGTCCCACGTTCATGGTAGGGCCTATAGAGGGGCTGGTGGCCTGGGTCAGGCAACTGTCGTGTTCAAAGGCAGGAGAGAAACCACATGTGGCCCTTGTGCCATACTCCAACCTCCTCATTCTAGTGCCATGCCAGGACAGGGTGACTGGTCACCTGCCCTTAGGTATCTGGCCAGGACCACAGTGAAGGCAGACGGTGTTTTCCTGAGCTGGTGGTTGTGTCCTTCCCTCTCGAGAGGAGCTGACTTGCTGTGCCCAGCCATGTGGAGTGGTGGAAGGCTGCAGGTAAGTTTACCTTTTCTTTTTGTGTTCTTATCATTTGTGCTAACCTCATTCCCCAAACTGCTGTGTGAAGCAAGGCTGACTGCGGACCTAGCCCTGGCCCCTGCCTTCTCTCTGGCTTTTCTGCGGCAAGCACTGTTCAAAGTTCTGGGAGGCCCTTGGTTAGTTCCTAGTGAGAGACTTGAACCAGCTCAAAGGCAAAATTTAAACACAGACCATAATTAAAATGGTGAAGAGAAGTGTGTATGTAGAAGCTGCTATTCATTCCCTTAGGAGAAAGCTCAAGCATGACAGGAACAGGAGTCTCTCCGTCCTCTCGGTTGAAGTTATTGGAGGGGTGGTGGTGATGGGAGTTGTGTGACTCTGTGGAGCTGCACTATAACTTATGGCTGCGTTTTTGCTAAACTCAATATCTTTCTCTCTTTGGTCTTCACAGTGAAATAAAACAATCCTGAAAAATGCAGACTCTGCCACCTACTAAGTTGCTATTATTTTTGGTAACTGGGAGCACTGTTCTCAGTGGCTGTAGGAGGTGGTCTTCTCACCTGAGGGTCACTGAATGCTGATAATATTGAAACACAATCTATTCCTGGGCTTAAATTTAGGGTGCATTGTATGCCAGTGCTTCTCACAGGTTGTTGAACCTACATTATAAATCACAAGAGTCCAGACCTCTGGGTAAAAGAGCCAAGCTTTCACGTTTGCAGGCGGCTATGCTCCCTGTGGCACCGTGTCCTTTCTCCTGGTCACAGCTCAAAGCTCATTTTCCACATCTCCTGCCTCCATCCCCACCAGCATTCCCAGTGCCCATGCTGCCCAGGCCAGACCATGCTCCCCCATCGCTTTCCCCCATGCCACAGCATCCTCCCCCCAGAAGCTCTCCTGGATCACCCACAGCCTGGGCTTTGGCTCTGAATTAGTGAAATATAATGTTTGCCTTAAGAATATAAACTACTTGTTCTTTTGGCTATTTCAGTACAAAAACCACCAGTCCACATCTTTACACATTGTCTACAATGTATTTACATATGCTCAGAATATTACTGTTGCTAATTTATTGTCACAAATGCTTTCATGCATCTACACTAAACGATGGTAAGAAAATCTGAAATCAAAGTTCACATCTAACTCTGTACAGAGACACAAGGAAAAGGGAGAATGGATTCAAACACCTTTTCTTCTTCTTTCGTGGCCAAACATGACACCACATCTGGCTCTTGGTGAGTGTTAGCACTCGCTGAGGCTAACCCAAGGGCTGTGTGGGGCTTGTGGACTTAAGGACACAGCAAAGTCCATACTCTGCAGAGCCTCAAAATAAACTCTTCTGCCTCAGTCACACTGTGCCTGAGAAAGTGTTGCTGTGGGTATGTGTATCTCTACTACACTGCACAAAGTAGTGGCTGAATGCTATCAGCTGAACCCTTTCAGTGTGAAACTGGTTTCTTTTATTAAAATCAAGCTTTCATTGACTGCCCTACTTTTCTCCATTTCTCAACAGTTTCAATCAGTTCTGAAAGTCTTTTTATTCTTTTTATTTTGACATTTTCGTTTTTACTGGTTTTTTTGAACAGGAAGGTATAGGCACTGTCTACCACCTTCTCTCCTAGGATCTCACATCCTGGTCTAGTTCCCAGGGGTCTATTTCCCAGGAGCACATATCAGAACAATCCAAGTAATTCTTTCCATTACTGTAAATCTGGAATCACTTAAACTTTGAGAGCAGAGGCATTTCTCCAGCAGTATACCTTTGCTGCCTCTGATCATATCCAAAAGTCACTGCAAGACAGAAAACCATACCCATAGCGTCAGGAAACCTCGATTTCTTATCTGCCACTTCAAGTACTATCACCAAACTTGGCAAGTAGATGTGATTACAACACAGGAAGTACGAGAAGTTTCTAATGGAACTTTTAGAGTAGCAGATCATTTCTGGAGTGTAAAATATCTGTGGTTTATTTTGAACCTGACTCCCATGTCTTCATAGTGAGCTACTCACTATGTAGGCTTAAAGAAACAGAGTCAAAAGAAGTCAAAATGGATGTGTTTATCATGAAGTCATCTGTATTGTATTATTCTCTTTTTTCTCTGGTCAGTTGTACGTCAGAGCTGTTGCCTCCAGTTTATATTTGTCTGAAATTTCCCCTATTTTGGATAAGTAGATGTTTAATTAGATGTATGTCCCGTGTGACTGAAAGGTTGTTTCACTAAACCAAATGTTTACAGCTTCTGTTTCTGCAGCTTCTCAAGAGAAAATGCATCTATATCAACTTCTTGTCCATAGTATTCCCTCTGATCGCCATTTCTGATAGGTCCTTTGTATATTTTATGAATCCATTATGACATTAGAAAGCATTTTTCTGAATTCTACACCTCCTGTCAATTTTCTTTCTTCCTTAATGTATTTCTGAGAACAGAACTCACTTCCCTGTCAGTTTGTGAATTTTAAATCAAATTCAGGTTTTGTCAAAATACATCTTGGGTGTATTATCACTGACATTGAATTTGAGGTTTATGAATTTACATGAGGTTACTGAAAGAAAAAAAAACCATACCTGATTAAAGGATAGAGCGTTCTTATTTTGTGAATTCTTGTTTCTCCATGAATTGTCTCTGAGTCTGTTCGGATTTCTAACATCCACACCTTCACTGTCATTCTGGGGCATGACAAGAACAGAAATTGTATTGGTTCAAGTCAAAAGCTGAAAGGCTTTCTCATGTGCAGTAAGAACTCATTTATACTCTGGTGCTTGTGCTTCCAACATTTTACTCTAATTTATGGGGAGCCCGAAACTCAGTGTACAGAGCTCAGGTGTTCCATGTCCCTGCACTATTATACAAAGCTGCATTGATCATGGATGGTGCTCGCCTAAAGTGCATTTGCTGTTTTCTTCACCCAAAACTCACATGTGCCCGTGGTGCTGCCCTTTGCCTCAGGACTGGTTCAACAAGTTTACTAAGATTAAGGTTGGAAATGACTTCAAGGATCATCAAGTCCAGCTGTCAACCCAACACCAGCTAACCCACTAAACCATGTCCCAGAGCACCACATCTACACATTTCTTAAACACCTCCAATTCTTTTTTTATATCATAGAATCATAAAATAGTTTGGGTTGGAAGGGACCTTAAAGATCACCTAGTTCCAACCCCCTGCCATGGGCAGGAACACCTTCCACTAGACCACATTGCTCAAAGCCTCATCCAGCCTGGCCTTGAACACCCCCAGGGATGGGGCATGTGGAACTTCTTTGGGCAACCTGTTCCAATTGCGAAAAAGCTTCTTCCTAAAAGCCAATCTAAATCTACTCTCTTTCACAGAATTATAGAATCATAGAATCATTAAGGTTGGAAAAGACCTCAAGGATCATCAAGTCCAGCCATCAACCCAACACCATCTAGCCCACTAAACCATGTCCCGAAGCACCACATCTACATGTTTCTTGAACACCTCCAGGGATGGTGACTCCACCACCTTCCTAGGGAGCCTGTTCTGATGTTTGATCACTCTTTCAGTGAAGAAAT